GGGGTCCTGGGCCAGCTCCGTAGCACCTGCGGGCTCCGACTCGGGCAGATGGGGTGACAGGGATGCCCTCCGGTTAGGGCCCCCCGATCAGGACTGAGGGTCGTAGGCTTAGTGGGTGCCCCCTCCCCAGGAAACAGGACGCGCAGCTGGTGTGTCCTCTGGGAAGGACACCTCAGAGGAAACCTCGCCGCTCCTTGGAGGTATCAGTCAGGAGTTGGGGGGTAACTCCCCACCTGTTCCACCCAGAGAAGGGTCACCCCGAGGAGCTGCTGGCTGGCCTGTGCCCACCCCGCCTCCCCTCTACACGGGCGGAGGGGACGCCAAGGTCAGCGGGAGGTGGGGGAGAGACTCCACTGTCCGACTCCCTCCGGCCTCCCCAGAGGAGGAAAGGAAAGGGAGAAGGGGCTCCTGACTCCTGCAGGTCCCGACCCCGCAGAGGGGCGCTCAGCGCCTCTTCGGAAACCCCATTTGGGGCCAATATTGATATTGCACCTGCGCTTCTCTTTCAGCAAACCCCAGAAATTTACTCCGTGGAGCTCAGCGGAACTAAGGACATCGTGAAAACAGACAAGGGGGATGGCAAGGAGAAGTACAGGGGTCTGAAGAAAAACTGCCTGGAACGCAAAAAGAAAAATCACAAAGAGGAGTTTCAGAAAGAACTCCATCTGGTCAGTAGCCTTCAGCCACAGGGGCCCTGCCGGCTATGGCCTTTCCCCGCAAGAGCTTGGCCCTAGAACCCACCTCTTACCACATTCAGTCTGAGGGATTTGAAATCCCCTTGAGATTGGTTTCCTTGTGTATGATGTGTGTATGGGGTGTGTGTGTGTGGTGTGTGTATGTGTGTGGTATATGTGGTGTGTATGTGTGTGGTATGTATGTGTGTGGTATGTGTGGTGTATGTGCGTATGTGTGGTGTGTATGTGTGGTGTGTGTGTGGTGTGTGTATGTGTGTGGTGTGTCTGTGTGTGTGTTTGGTGTCTCTGTGTGTGGTATATGTGGTGTGTGTGTGTGGTGTGTGTATGTGTATGTGTGTGGTATGTGGTGTATGTGCGTGGTATGTGTGGTGTGTGTCTAGTGTGTGGTGTGTACGTGTGG